ATGTGACCAGACATTCAAACGGAAAGCAGCAGGCTAATGAACTCATCTATCGCACATGATGTATTGATGATTAATGTGTGCGTTTTATATCTGCCTGGAGTTCAGCTTTAATTAATGCTAAAACATAGTTAGTGAATGTGCATGGTACCGATGGGTAATATATTATACAAACACAGCACAACATACTGTATATTTGATGTGAGAGGCAGCCATACCTTTAAGGCTGAATCATGTCTCTAGACATTAAACATTTGTGATGGTGATTTGGATATGTACTTTACGGAAATGTCTTATTTGCATACATACAGCTTTTTCTTTCTAATCTTCACTGATAAAATGACGTCTGAGCTTTATCCTTCACGGAACCGTCCCCAAGCCAGATTAACCTTCTATGTACCTGATACCGCCATTGCCTTTCAGTGTAGATCAGGGGGATGTTAGTACAGTGTGAGTCATAGGAAGGTGGTGGGGGGGATATGAATCATCATTGAATGACTCACACTCCCATCTCATCATCAATGAACTGTGTTCTTACATCAACACTCGCAGCGTACATAGTGGAACGAATCTATGAATCCTAGCCCACTCCCGTCTCCGCAGACCATTCTGCTCCGCAACCGCATTCCAAACATCATTCCTATTGAATTACATTGCAGTTAAAGGGCATCTCATGAGCGAATGTTGCCGTTTTGACAACTATGAATGGTTGATGGATGTCCGTTATATAGTTTATGTATGGGCTGAATTCCAGGCAGAGAAAAATCAATTGACAATATTCCTCAATGGCCACAAAGGATGTCAATCCACTTTGTGTGCTCCAAATGCCTTTGCAAGTGCAGTTAGTCTCAAACAGATCATCCCCACACAGCTACCTCCTAATGTATCACTTGCCCCTTCCTTTTAGATTGTAAGCCCTCAGGGGCAGGGCCCTCCTTACCATCTTGTCTTGAATTGTATTGTGATTGTAATGTCTTCCTTATATTGTAAAGTGCTGTGCAAACTGTTGGTGCTATATAAATCCTGTGTAATAATAATATTAGCTTGTAAAAGTAGCAGTGACATCATCAATGTGCTGTACATAACATGTCCAGAGAGCAGAGCTGTGGGAGGGACCCAGCAGGCCCTACCTACTACAGGAGGGGGCAGAGACAAGACCAGTCACCCTGCACAAGGAGAGAGAGCAGCAGTGACCGGTCTTTATTACAGGAGGGGGCGGAGACAAGAGCAGTCACCCTGCACCAGGAGAGAGAGCAGCAGTGACCGGTCTTTATTACAGGAGAGGGCAGAGAAAAGACCAGTCACCCTGCACCAGGAGAGAGAGCAGCAGTGACCGGTCTTTATTACAGGAGGGGGTGGAGACAAGACCAGTTATCCTGAGCAAGGAGAGCAGCAGTGACCGGTCTTAAATAACAAGAGGGGGCAGAGACAAGACCAGTCACTCTGCACAAGGAAAGAGAGCAGCAGTGAGCGGTCTATATTACAGGAAGGTCCAATTCTCACACTGGATTACTGCACAGATCTGCTCACCAAGATTCAGGAAAGAATACACATAACTCTTATATTTAGACAATGTTTGCTTATCCTGCAGTTTAACTTTAAAGTTTTTGGGTTTAGTTTTGGATAGTACAGGGAATGGTTACAACCATAGTTAGTTGTCTACAGTCTGTGTCCTAAAGGGGAGATTTTCCTTCACTCCCAGTCTCAGAGACACAACAGGAAGTAAGAGGATATATCTTCAAATAGGAATTGTGGATTATCCCTGTCTCTGTGACAATGCTCACCAGTGCAAATAGAGACAGCGACTCTTACTAGCTGGTACACAGGCACCAATAATAACCTGAAAGGGTTGTATCCCTACCCCAACCACAGTGTGGGCTCCCACCGCACAGCAAGGGTTAATCGCTGGTTTTAGTCTTAGGTACCATTAAAAAGCAGCTTTACCTACCTTGACCCTCATTCCCTCAGCAGCCAGCTCTCTCCGACGCCCCAGGTTCTGGATGGGCCCTTGCCGTCCTCAGTCACAATGCAGGACTACTGGTCCTGCATTGTATGTGGTGATGTCAGAGCATGACCAGTGGACAGAGCGCCAAAAAGAAGCTGCTTCGGGGGACTGGTTGCAAGTTGAAGAGGAGCGATAAGGTTATTAAAAATGCGCTTAAAGGCACCCTAAAACAAATATTTAACCCTTGAGTTCGGGGAGAGACCCCACTGCAAGGGTAGTTTTGAATCTTCCCGAAAAAAATCTAAACCATATCTCAAAACTCTCATATAAGTGGAAATTAATCTTTAATATTTTTAATGCTGCAGCTTTCATTAAAATAACATCTGATGATCCTGCCATGAAGGTCCATTTTCAGGTACTTTCTGTTATAGGGTGACAATGCTCTGTTTCTGGCCCCCATTTGTGCTCCTGAGTTGTCACCCCCTCACACGGGCTTCCGATGGTGACTACAAGTGGCGTCATCAACACACTGCACAGGCAATGGTCCGCTGTTGTCACCATCAGTAAACCCGCCCTGAGAAATGCCATTCAGCCATCAGTAGAGTGAATGTAGACAGGAAAATGCTGCAGATGAGATCCAGGAGGTCTGCACCACCGAGACACAAGAAGGATGAAAAATATAAAAGGTAAAAGCAGTATTTATTTTCTAACAAATGGAAATTGTTTATGATACACAGTGCTTTAGGCAGAAATGTCATTCAGTTAGGGTTTACTGTTAATTATAGTTGGTAGTAAGCCATCATCTCACAGTGATGCAGAAAAGGGAGTGTAAGGAAGATAACATAAAAATAAAAATAATTTCAAATGACAAGTACATCAAATGGATATAATAAACATACAATAACAACAGGAGAATACCCGTGTACAAAAAGTTACAACAGGAGAGTACCCGTTCATATTACCCTATAACAGGCAAGGTTTGATTTCAGTATGGCACGCTCCATTGGCCTCCAATACAGAGTATTTAGACATGCCAGCACAACAACCCTATAACCCAGGCATAGGCACTTACCATGGGGTCAAGTGACAAAGGGGACCCCAGTTAACACAAAATATGGCTCAAAGCTTGTTTTTCTGTCTACTGTGTTATCCAGCCAGCCTAAGACTCCGTGCTGCGAGGTCTCTAGACACTCTCATAGCAATGGTTGCCTCTCATTCATTACAGTGCAGCAGAAATGAATGTACACTATACGGCCAAATGTATGTAGACCCCCCTCCAAAATATTGTATTCCACTGAAGGCTAATGTTAATGATACACCATACAAAGACATTTAGACAAACATATGCCTCCACACACTCTAATATTTCATTGGACCACCCTTAGCTATGATTACTGCACGCATTCGCCGTAGCATTATTTCTTTAAGCATATGCAATGTCACAACATTTATTTCCGTCCAGAGTTGCTTACATCTTGTTAGTGATGATGGGAGAGTTGTAAAGTCTTCTCCAGCACATCCCAAAGATTCTCAATGGGGTTAAGGTGTGGACTCTGTGTTGGCCAATCCATGTGTGACAATGATGTCTCATGCTCGCTGAACCACTCTTTCACAATTTGAGCCCAATGAACCCTGGCATTGTCATCTTGGAATATGCCCAATGTGCCATGAGGGAAGAAAAAAATCCATTGATGGAAAAACTTGTTTATTCAGTGTATTTAGGTAGGCATCTGACCTCATTTTTTTGGCACATAACGTTGCTGAACCTGGACCTATTATTCAGTGGAAGGCTCTGATCTCTTTACTTAGCTATATCCAGGCACTGGGATCTCAATGTTCATTCAAACGTCCAAATGTGCCAAAGTATTGCCAAGCAAGCTCACTGGCTCTAGTAAGGTGGCTCCAACAACATAACAGGTCTTCCCTGGTAGGTAGCGAAAAGAAGCTTAAAGTGTAGACATATTTATTGAATTGGAGCCAGACCAAATGGATCAAGAAAAGTCCAACAATTTTTTATTATTCAATCACAAAGGAAAAACAGCCAATATGTTAATATGTGTCAGACCATGGGCGAAAAAGTCTGAAGAGTCTTTAATAATTCATTCACAAAAGAAACACAGCCAACATTATGCAACTATAGTCCAAAAAGGAGATTTCAAACTTCACTAAATAAGAAATTCCTTTGGTTTCAGTCCTTTGAGTTTTTTTAAGTCTTCACATTATTGATTGAAGCCCTGTAGGAGGGGAGATGTTGCCGAGAACATGTTGCCTGTGTTTCTTTTGTGATTGAATAATTAAAGACTCTTCAGACTTTTTCACCCATGGTCTGACACCGATTCAATATATGTCAGCACTCCAACTTTGTGGTAACAGTTTGCAGAAGGCCCTTTTCTGTTCTGGCATGACTGTGCCCTGTGCATAAAGCCAGCTCCATAAAGACATGGTCTAATGAGTCTGGTGTGGAGGAACTCGAGCCTTGTGACTTCAACCTTACTAAACACCTTTGGGATAGATTGGAACACTGATTTTGAGCTAAGTCTTCACATCCAACATCAGATCTGGTGTCAAACATGGGCACAGATTCCCTCAGATAACACTCCAAAATCATGTGGCAAGCCTTCTCAGCTGTATAGGGTTGGATTGCCTATTAATAACCATAGTTTTGGCACATGATGTCCAACAGGGTTATTCACAGAAGGATGAAGAGTTTGGAGAAGGCAGGAGAAGTGAACAATCTAGGACAGCATAGCTCAACTGGAAAGTGAGCTGAATTGGAGAATTTTCCAAATCAGCTATGTTGTCCTAGATTGTTCACTTGTCCTGCCTTCTCCAAACTCTTCACCCTTTAGTGAATAGACCTGCAACAAACTCATATAAGTGCGATGGTCAGAAGTCTACATACTTTTGGCCGCATAGTGTACCTGCTAGCATGTTCAGGTGAAATTTCATGACAAATCGAACTCCAGTCCATTCCACCTTATACATAACCTACCCCAATCACACCACTAATGTAAAATTCCTCTTCTCTTACTTTTTGGTCACGTGTCACCCACCCATCTTCTACAATCTGGGAATGTTGGCAAACACAAAAGCGGTGTGTGGTCAATGCTTTTCACAGAGAAGGAAACATATCTTCTTCTACTTGTAATAGACTTGTTTAAAGTCTTCATTTTCGATATGGAAATGAAGCCACTGATACCTTTTTGAATGTGCACTCTGAGCCATTGGTCCGTCCCTCTTCACTGTCCTCGTCATCCTCTTCTCCTCCCTCTTCCTCTTCTTGTGTTCCCTCGCTTTCTGTGCCTCCATCCAAGGTGAACACTGCACGACACAGCTCTCCGCCATCTTGCTCAGTCAGCTCCTCCTCTGTCTCCTCAGGGTGGGTGGGTGGCTGGCGTAATACCTCCACGGTCTATAAAGAAACAACCTGCATGTGTCACTGAGGGTTACATCTAAGGGCCTACCTGAAACTGACACTGCCTCTATGGAGTACTGGTGGGCTGAATTATCCTCTGGGGTTCATATCTCTTTGATTACTCCAGCAGATTGCACTCTATACCATGGTTGAGTCTCCCATCTCCTGGTAGTGCAGGAAGAGTATGAATGCCCCTTTTGTAGTGTTCATAATGTAACATTGGTGACCACCCAACAATGGGGGAGAAATCTCCTTATTATATGCGAGTCTTTGGATGGTGTTTCAATGCTTGATTCTATGTTTTTTAAAAACATCTAAAGTAAAATTCTACCAAGAACATGGGTCTGGCACACTGTATTGGCTACAGCTAGGATCCCATCACTGGAGCCCTGAGATGTAGGAACCTTTTGGGTCATTTATCTCACAACTATCTACCCATAGCTGAACTATCATGATTGGGTAAAGTTACCTTTTGAAGCTCAGCTTTTACCATTTTGGATATGGTAAGACAACTCAGCAAGCCATTCAACATAGTGGTATTTATTACCAATTAATGATTGTGTAAGCTGTGAAAGCTGAATTCCAGGCAAACATCTAAATGCATGATTGAAATACAGACATGGCTGTTTTCCCTGACATAGGACTTGTATTTCTGTCTGTTCAGTCCTGACATTTACGCAGCTCTGACACACAGCAGAGCCAACCTGGAGACCTTAATTTCTCTGCTGCAGTTAAGCAACACAACTGGGTCACCTCCCTGCCCCTAGCCTGTGACCGATTGGCTATTTCACTGCCCTACATTACTGCCCCAAATCAGGGAAATAAGGGTCTCTTTGAAGAGTGGACCCACAAACACCACTACCTACCTTGCTGAGCTGCTGTTGGTCTAGGTAGTGCTGGTGTTGTAGTACTAGTTGCTGTAGTGCTTGGGGACTTTGCGGGAGCGGAGAGGACTGTGTGCGGCTCAACGGACGATGTCGTGGTCCTTTTGTGACTGACCTTAAGGAACTGGACACGCGTTCTCCCCCTACCAGGGGCGACTGACCGTGCAGCGGGACTGAAACAGAAAAGTCAGAACATTTGGCAAATCTAACTATGGCAGGAAACAGAATACAAACTGAGATTAGATTGATAAGTGAAGGATGCCATTCATGCTACCCATTAAACTACATTATTAAATATGGAGGCCTCAAGCTGCTTCATAAGGACGGCCCTGGTAGGGACACAGCTAGCGCAAGAAAGAGGTGCAGAATATACACAGGAAAGACAGATGAGGGAGGGATATGTACCTGTTATAAGGGCACTCTGCTGTCTGGCTTGCTCCAATAGGAGGACATGCTGTAGTAGGGATGGCGCGCCTAAACTGATCTCCCCTCCTTCCAGCGTGGGAAGGGTCGTGCTGCTGAGGAAAGGACCACCCGGCCTCAATGTCTGGCGTTCAGCCCCCTCCTGGGGGCTAAACTGACCCTAAAGAAAACAATGGGAGAAATAAATGCAATGTTCACAATCATTACATGTCCCATAGGTGGTGTTTTACAGTAGACCTCTGCTTATAACTCTCACTTTCCATGAGACACTAGGCACCTCAGAGTTATTAAATATAACATTTTAGTGAAAAACTCTCTGTTGCTTACCATGAATAATACAAAAAACTGCTGCTTCCAAGCTTCTCTGGCTACTAGGAGCTTTGTGGGTATTACACCTTATTCAACAATGTTGAGAGATAACAGGCTGAGCAAGCAGCAGGACACAAACACCGTGCGGCAGTACTAAGCAGGAAGCAAAGCCATGAGCAAATATTGCTATCCCTTTATTAAGGAAGAACTTTGGGAATTTAAAAACTTACCCTTGCAGTGGGGGCTACCCTCGCACTGCAAGGGTTAAGTACTTGTTATGCCTAGGGGGCTCAAATAAAGCAGATATACTCACCTGATGCCGGGCCCTGCGGCGGCCAGCGCTCACCCCTCTCTACCTCCACTCTGGCTATAGAATGTCTCTTGGCATCCTCACGTCTAATGCAAGTCAATGGACCTGATGGCAGGATGATGTCAACGGTCCTTAGATCACCGGAGCCCAGGGGAGAACAGGCTGTGGGGACCAGTCTAACAGCCTGGCAGGAATGAGGATCAGACAAGTATATCTGGCCCCCTAGACAGAAGGAGCACTTAACCCTTACACAGCTGGGGTAGCCCCATTGCAAGGGTAAGTTTTTTAAACTTTCCGGAGTTCTACTGTAAGACAGTGACGAAGGATGCAAAAAAAATTTTTTTTATAATATGACTGCGCACTGCTAGATCATTTACATAAAGCGCATCTCTTCCACGTGTGCAGCTCAAAAACATTTAAAACGTTCCTGTTTATGATCCACTAGGTCACACTACGGTCAGTTTGTTGGATGGTACAGATACTCACGCTGAGGCTGCTGGCATTTCCCTGTAGGCAGATGTTGGGTAGAGACGGCGATGTGTATAGGCCCAAAGGCCCTCCTGTCCCATCTAACGTGAGGACTCTATGCTGAGGCAAAATCTGTGAGCATGGACACAATGATTAACCCTTGAACACCAAGAACAGAGCTAAAAACACTCATTAAAAGCACATAAACATGGGGCTAGTGTTCCTTCTTGTGACTGTGAACTGTAGCAGCGCCTGCCCTGGGGGATACCAATCAGTCACCTTAAAGCTGAGGGAAGTCTGCTAATCAAGGGAAGAGGTTAGCTCTGCATGGAACTGCATGAGCTGCAATGTCTAGTTTGTGTGTGAATACAATGTCTAGTTTCTGCCTTAAAACTTTATGCCAAATGATACATCTGAATGGCAACAGTAGACACACATGAACTGGCTTTTAGCAAAAGCTGAACTCCAGGCAGATAATACAAACCCCCTCCCCCCAAAACACTGAAGTTTTGCATGTATTAAAATGTAAGATTTATGTTTAAATGCAGTACCTGAATCCCCTATAGCACTCAGATTGGGAGAGTGGAGGAGCAGCAATAGGAACCAATAAGATGTTCTGTATCATACGTGTGCTGACAAATAAACATGACAGGAAGAGAGGAAAAAGTGATGAGCTAATCAGTCTGCTGCTGCTCCCTCTCTGTCCAATTACAGACTCGGGGTGGGGTTGTGACCAAGCTGTATTGCTTAACTGCAGTAGAGGAAACCGTGGACACTAGCTGGCTGTGCTGTGTCCAATCCTTTAGTCCACGGGTGGCCCTGCAGCTGTGCTTTAACTGCAAATCCCAACATGTCTCTGAGTCATGCCTGTAATGGTCAGTCTTGCAGTGCCTCATGGGACTTGTAGTTCCACAACATCTGGAGGGCTGGAGTTGCCCACCGCTGTATTAAACTGTGTAATCAGTGGTAGTCCAGTGTGGCTATTGCTGATTCAATAATAATGCATTAAGGGGGACTTCCTGATCCCCAAAACGCATTGGCTGTCTTTTGTTTTCCTTTGCTATTTCTGGAATGAATAAAGTTATTTGGACTCCCAATAGATGTTTTTCAGTTAAGCGTTTATCTTTTTGCCTGGAGTTCAGCTTTCAGATATGCGTTATTATTTTTTTACGGTTGGCCTGGATGTCTCCCTTAAAAATATAGTTTTTCTCCATCTCCAGTCCAAACCAGCCCCATCATAATCTGTGGGCGCACACTGATAGTCTACAATCCTTCCCACCAAAATAGGGTCACTTGAGAATGAGTATTTCCCATGTTACTGGATCATTTATCTATGTCCTAAACCGGCTAGAGCCGCAACCTCCGTCTCTCCACTTACCTCACTGGCAATATTGGGCACACTCCCAGTCAATCCATTCTCACAGATGGCACTATTAGAGCTGTTTGGGGAGCTGGGTCCTGATCCCGGGGCGCTATTACATACTGAGGACACTGCAAGTGGAGTTATATCATATCAATAATGATAGTGCAATACGATTGTACAATCGCTATACGATCTCCTTTAGATTTACCTAAACTCAGGGGTCGGCAGCTTTTCCCACATTAGCATCGTTTATTTTCAATGATTGCACCCAGGGCTCATTCATGCCAGCCCGCATGCTAAGTCGCTTGTCCGTCCGTTGTGTAGGGGCGGTGCTTTGCTTCGTTACAATTAACAATGACCTTTTTTTTAAAGTGTCACAAGATGACACTACATTCAGGTCTACACACCGCAGCGCGTCGCAAAATGCTGTGCGGTGAGTTGCGCTGTGTACACATGCAGCATGTCTACATTTTTACTTGACACACTGCAACCCAACTTAACGCAGCATTGTGGAGTGAACATGGCACATAGAAAGCAGTGCCATGTTTTGGGTTCCACGCTCCTTGGGAATGTATATGAATATTTTGAATTTCTGAGGTCGGGATCCCCCATTTCTTTCACCTGCACATAGAAAGCAATCGGCTTCTATATGTCCTTATTAGGGTTGCCACCTTTTCTTCAAGCGAAACCCGAACACTCAATCGACGCGTGGACATTTTTTGGGGAGAATGAGTCGTGGCGTATTCATATATACAAATTGCCGCCAATTCGTATGTAAATATCACAGTTGAGACTATTTTCAGTGGGGGGCCAGTAGCCCCTATCTTCATTTTGGTTGCCCCTGTCTGCCTGACATCTTGTGTCCAGGTTTCTGCTGCCATGAAACCCGGACACAGCATTCAAAACCCGAACTGTCCGGGTGAATCCTGGACAGGTGGAAACCCTAGTCCTTATGCTGAATCGGTGCAGATGAACGCAGGCTCAAGGTAAGGACACATAGAAAACAATTGCTCTCTATGCACATCACGGTGCTGCACTGAGGTGGGTTGCAGTGCATAAAGTGCAATGTAACTCAATGGAGAAAGTGTAAACGAGCCCTCGTAATTGTAGTACTAATGGCAAGCTAAACACTTTGATCATTGTTCTAATAAGTGGCGCACACACAACATGTTGACATGTACTGAACCCTATAGAGGACTTATAATTTCAGTGTGATCCCTCTCTTTCATTGCTTAGTTGTGCTATATCTGGCTTGTAGGATGTCAATTGCAGTGGCACACACTTTTGAATTATCTATTGTAAATCAGGGATGGGCGTGGGTTTTGTGCGGCCCGAGTTCACTCAAGCCCATGCAGAACTTTCATTGACACCACCTGGCCCTATCAGCTGTGGCCAGAGCATTCCCCAGCCCTTTGTTACAATGTAGCGGAGAATGCCCTGGCTGCAACTGATTGGGCCAGGAGGTGTAAATGACAGTTCTGCTGGGGGGGTGTAACAGACAAGCTTGGGCGCAATCATGGACACCTAAACTATATAATATGATGGCCTACCTAAACAGTCCATTGAATTTATAGCCAATCAGGCAAGACCTTGCCCTTCATCATTGTTAGCAGATCTGAAGGAGATTGTACTATTAAATTGTAACGTCTATTTGCATCTTAAAGCAGCCCATGATAGGTAGTGAGTAATAAAGAGGTGTAAGTTTAATGGGGGATGGGAAAAGTTGGAAAATCAAAGCTGTGCCAGACTGGGAGAAAGCAGCAGTCTGGCACACAAAGCATACTTGCAGCTCACATATGGTATATGCAGCCAATGCCTGAAAAGCACAGGGTACCATAATACATTGTATGTGCTGACACAACTGCTGGCTCTGTACACATTGGGAACAAAGAGTCATAGCCCCTTTATAACCAATCAGAACAATTGTTCACTAATTCACTATTGTACAATTGACTTTGAAATTTACAGGAGAGCAAGCCAGCCCACAAATATTGTCACACATACACCAGACAAACGCCAAAGTGGACAGATTGTTAGTCTGGGCCTAGATGGGATGCACACAATGGTACTGACAAGCCGCTATGGGGAAGTAGCCACAGTGCAAATTAAGAACACTGACCCTGAATCTCAATGGCTCTCTTCTTGAAAGCACTGATGACCGTTCCATCCTTTCTGCGGAGGAGGGGACTGCTGCGCCGCTCCGCAACCTTTTGCTTTAACCGTGAGCGGACTTTTAGGTTGGGTTCAGAGGCTGGAAGAGAAGAGTTAATAGCAGTGTCGGTAAAGATAAACTTCTTTCCACTTAGTGGGTCCATTAGTTTGCAGCTCCTTTCTAAGAGAACCTTCACCCTCCCCCCTACTTTCTCTCCTTCCACTCCTGCCCTCCTCCTCCGAAACAAATCAATATATTAATTTATTTTTTTAAATAGCCTTTTCAGGGATCCCTCTTTGCACTTCTCGCCTAGACCCCCATAGCCTCCTGGGATACCCATGTGATGCATTACAGGAGACTTCGGGGTACTACTGTATTTAGTGCATGTCATCAGTAGGCCGGCTGCCTCTTTTTGGTTCTTGTTGCCATCCACCTGATGGTGCGATGAAATGTATGCACCTCATCGGGGGGGAGTTTGCAAGAACCAGGCAGAGACAACCAGCCTGAGAAGAGGCGTGGAACCAGCTGATACCTACTGAGCACCACTGGATTGCTGGGTGTGTGAGTATAATTTTTACCAAGCAAAAAAGGTAAAGAGGCGGGGGGATAGAGAGGGAAAGTTACTCTTTAAGAAATCTATTGTACGAACAAATGGCAAATTTTACAATTCAATCTCCAAAGAAAAAACCCAATTGTATAGGCCTGGGGTCACAACTGCCCAGCGGGGTAGCAGGAAAACTCCACTGCCACATAGTGCCTTTAGCATTCCTAGCTCCATCTGGATCCACCACGGCAACACCCAAAGATTATACCTATTCTGTCTTTTCTTAAAAGTCGGTATTTGAATATTTCTAAGCACGCTGCATTCCTCAATGCAACATTTCTTGGATATGGGGCACAGCACACATTTTGGGATGGAGAAAGGGCATGCTTGTTTGACCAATACCTGGAGATTCTGGCATTTTGAAGGGCTACTGCGGTGGATTCAGATGGTGGACAGGCACACTAAGAATAATGCGTGGCTACTCCCATGACTATATTGAAGCGAGTCCCGAGCATCTCCTACTCTACATTCCTGAGAAAGGACAAACTGGCTGACTCCTTCAGCTATCTGAGATCTCACCTGGTTAACAAGCCATATGGTCAAATGCAGTGTATATATGGAACATGTATGTTCTCATTTTTCCCATGGTCCGCTGTGTTCCCACATTAGCTATCCTATCAGAGCGATAGATTCTGATCTGTAATCACCCATTATCAGATATATGACCTGTATTTAGCGTCTGCTAACACATGTTTTCTTGTCAATGCACGGTCTACGCACCGAATACTGTGATGTTATGTACTGTCGATTGTCTTCTGTGATGAAACCAATAAAAATGTATATGGTTAAAAGAATAATGCGTGGCACTGGAGAGTGACTACTATGTACGCGGGGAGTTACTTTAGTTTGTGTGACCCCAAGACAAATTTTCTTTAGAGGTAACATTTGTGCGCTTGCCATTGCCTGACTCTGCAGATGCTAGTTGCCTGGTTGACATGCTGATCCTGTAGCTTCCATGCTTCCTTATTATGTAAACACCCACAGCTTGCGCACTTACTTACCAGTTTTGCGGAGAGGAAAGTCATCTCGCCCATCGCAGGTTCCCAGTAGAGACATCTTGTAAGAAGTACCGGGGGATCCAGCCTGAGGAGGGGAGCCATGGTCTAGTGAGGTATGGTGAGTTCCCCTAATGGAAGGAGCCAAGGTCAGCAGACAGCATAATAAGGGCAGTGGGATATCAGCAGGAGAAAGGTCAGAGAGGACCCATACCAAGAAGGCAATATATACAAATAGAAAGCACTAAAGAGATTTATATGCAGCAATTATAGCCATAAAACAGGAGTTACATTTGTCAAAAGTACATCTAGAAAACTCAAACTCCAATAATTAAATACGTAATTGGCTTCAATGCCTGATATCACCAAATAATGTGGCAGCTTTAAAAAGTGAAACTGTTAAGTGTTAACATATTCCTAAAATCAGAAAATGAGCTTTAAAATAAGCCCTCACTGACCTCTGTAGCTGTAGGCAATATGGAGCAATTCATCCTCAAAGTTCTGAAGCCATTCAAGTCATTCTATCAGCTGCTCAGTTCTGGCCCTGATGTGAAGGGGGCTTCTGATGTGATGGGGGCTCCTGGTGTGAAAGATGGGGACTTTGATTTGAAAGTGGGGTCTCTGATGTAAAGGGGGGCTCCTAATGTAAAGGGAGGCTTCGTATGTGTGTTTTTGCATGGGATCCCCTGTTAAAATCCATACCAGTCCCCTTTCTCAGTCAATGTCTGTTTTTACACAATGCACATGTCCTGTGTTCAGGTACTGCGAGGACACTTCAGGGCAACTTCAACCCTCCAGCTGCTGCGGAACTACAAGTCCCATCAGGGCGTCCCGAGGCCGGGTGTCACCAGATCTCCAGACCGGGTGACACCCTGCCGTGTCGTCATCACGCGTGCGCGTGACGTCATCGCGCATGCCCGGCCATCTGATTGACGCCTGCCGGCGGCCATCTTGGTGATGGACGCCGGCAGAGAGAGGAGGTCCCGGCAGGATGAGGTATGCTGCTGGGTCCCCTCCTCTCTCCTGACACTTTCGTGCTCTCAGTGTCACCTCCTTGTGGATCCACTGAGTCCCATGAGGCATTGCAAGCCTCTGACTGCCACAGGCAGGACTCCATGATGCACACAAATTATGGGATTCGTAGATGAAGCACAGCCGGAGGGCTGGATTTGCCCACCCCTGGACTGAAGTATTGGTGTCCTGCTGTAGATGCATTTTGAGGAGCCTGTGGTACCTAGCAGCACTGAGCAGTTCCTACTTTGGGTCAGCGGGGTTAGTTTAATTAAGAGGAAAGGTTTGCTTAAAGGAGAGAGCAGGAAGCAAACATGGATAGTGCTAAAATACAGGAAGTGGAAAGAGACATGACATGTAATAAATGTAACTCACCAACATTTGGGGTGCTGTAGGATGGAATGGTTTGCAAATCCTGGCACCTCTTTAGACTTGCTGAGCAGGAATTCCTGAAGCTTTAGCTTCACCTCTGTGCTGGCTATGGCACCTTGGTGGGACACAAAAGCAGAGAGGGAAACCTTAGGTTAAACCACCATTAGACAGAAAACCTAATGACTGCCCTCCGAACCAAACCAGCCCCCCCCCCCCCCCCAATTTCAACTCTCAGTCTCGGCCCTCTCCCTTGCTTACTCTCTTTGCTCTTCTCTTTGTTCCTGAGTATCAGGAGTTGTTGCTCCAGCCTCTGTTTCTCGGCCTCCTCTTGTCTCTGCCTCTCTCGTTTCCTTTGCTGCTCTAATTCCTGCTGCCTCTTGGCTGCCAGAATCTCTTGCTGCTGCTGGATACAGAGTCATGGCAGATGGGTCAGTCTAAGGAAAAGCTACTATGTGATGTGAACACGGTCAAAAGTAAGGAGTGAGTCAGTCATTAAAGTACATCTAAAGCCAAAACGTTCAATTAGTCTTGGATCGCGTAGGAAATGAATCAAGCCCGTTCATATCAGTTAAATATATTCAAGGTGCATTAAAGCAAAAGCAAAGCCTTACATTTCCTAATCTGTAGTAGGCAGCCACAGAGTAGAAAAGCCTGTCCCCTACCAGCAGGCTGCAGAAAAAGGACCAGTTCTTGGTGTGGGAGCAGTGGTCTCCCTTCAGAGGTCTGAATCATCCCCTGCTAGAGCTTTTCAAGTAGCAGGGAGCATGAGCTTTGCTGACTGCAGAGCTATAGGTCGGATTTAGGGGATGGAGGACCTCTGCAGAGAGACCACTGCTGCGCAGTTTATCTGTGTCTCACTTGCATGTGCCCTTACCTTTTGCTGCTATGAGTCTGCTGGTACCTGTGATTCCACAAGCATGTGCTCTCCTCTTGCTGCACTGTGTTAGCAGCTAAGGATGTTGCCCGATTCACCTGAGGGTTAATATACCTTCCTCCCTGCTGCTTCCTGTCCTGCCTCCTATCCCTTTTCCTATTTAAATCCTGTGCAGACTTGCTTCTGGTTGCTTGAGCAAAACTTGTTCCTGAGCCCCTTCTGTGCGTTTGTTCCTGTCCTGATTTCTCGTGTACTAAGTTAGCTTGTTCTCCTGTTTACAATTGTCTGCTGCCCGCCCTGACCTTTGGCTCGTTATCTGGATCTCCTTTTGTGTCTTGGGGTACTCTCCTCGCGAGCAGGGTGATCCTTGGGGTCATGATCTGAGGTCAGCACGCAGCTAAGTCCAAACATCCGCGAGGGGGTCCCTGGCGGAACACCGGCTGGCCCTTAGATTCCACGCCCAGGGGGATCACATGCTACCAGCTTGCCTGTGAGCTCACAGTCCTAGTACCGTGACACACAATGCTTCCACACAGAGATCAGGGGTCCTTCTTTACAGCTGGCAGGGGGCAGGCTCTTTGTTTCTACTCTTTGTTTGTATGCACCTGATTTGAACTGGGCTTCAAAACCATTGTCAAGTTAATTTTTTTGTCTGTGTCCCATTTGGGAGATTCACCTTCACTTCTTGTCCCAAAGACACAACAGGAAACATACTATATATAATCCAATGACATCTGTCTGGGCACTTACAGGTCTTAAAGAAACAGTGTGATTTTAATGGTGCAATAGTTCTTCTTTCAATTCCTGTGAGAGAGGCATGGTTCATTGGATCACATGCACCTTCTCTATAAGCACCCAGGCTTTTACATGCTGTAGCATGCAGCTATATCATTATATATTTTTGAAATCATCTTTCTTTATATTATATTCCAAACAACCCCCTGCATAGACGATTTAGACACTAAGAGCCATAAAATACCCTTCTGACTTCATGCCTGCACCAGCACTTTGCCATGGAACAATCTTGGGGTTCCCTATCCCAAAGCAAACAGGAAATCAAATAATGTCACAATTTCATAAAGAATCCTAGGGTCAGCATATGAAAATTCCCAGCTTTGCCGGTATGTGTGAAACAGATGTACATACAAAGCAGGGACAACTTAGCTACTGCCAACCATTTAATAGAAAGGGACATTTTAGATAGCACCACTCATTAATGTTTCATAAAAACAAAATATAGGGGATGCATAACGCCGGTTATAGGATACACACTGTGCTTGTTCCCTCTGCCTTGCACATTCACAGCATGGCTTCTTCTCAGTCCTTAGATTAGCCAAGAGCAGAGAAGGTTAAGAAGATTAAAGCAAGACTCTTTCAATGGAGCTGACTGTTGCAGGAAAAGGAATAAATCGTGACGGTACAGAAAAAACCCAAAAGGTGCAATTCTTGAAGGGGAAGGCAGAGGGTGCCATTTGTAAAGGGACGCGCCAAGTAGACTTGTAGGGAGTGTGAACTACATTGCACCCAGCGAGCTGAGTGGGCACATCGCCCAGAAGGAAGCTCTAAAAAGCTTTGGTAAGACATGTGAAGACAGCAAGTCGGCACCTTCCAGACAACTGAGTGAAAAGGGGGAAAGCTCAAATCCTTAAAGGGAACCAATCACTAAGCAACTGACATGCGATATACTAGTTCTGGGTCAGCAAGACCCCACATTGTGATTCCTCACTGTTAAACTAAATAAGATTGGCGTTATTATATTAGTATGCTAGTATTTAACCGTCTAACTGATTCCCAATCCCTTCATAGATGTATTTTTATAAGGAATGCAAGAATGTAACACAAGCAGTTTTGCTTCCTTATTAACTTACGCAGTACTAAATTGATTAAAAACAGAATGAAAGAAGTTTTGTAGTCTAAAAAGGAAGGTCTGCCTTTGCATGCTATTGGCTGGCTCGCATGTCACCCACTTAGCTGTAACAGGGAGGGACTTGTAGACCCCCTCCCCTAGCCAGTGCTACTTTATGTCATTGCTAGCAGCAGAGCTGATATTTATAGGTAGTAACAAACAGTGAAGGTAAGAATTTGTATCACCTGTGGAACTGGAAACATGAAAAAGGGTCTTTCCAATACGATAATGAAGCTGAAACACTCACGGATTTCCTATTTATCTTGCAAACCAAACTTTAGGTGTGCGTGTCTTCTCACCCATTGCTACAGCCCCCCCCCCCCCCCCGGGTTCTGAAAAATAAAATGT